GTGATACGATAAATATTTTAAGAAATACAATATATCAAATATGGACTCAAACAGTCATTCTAATTGATTTTTTTTAAATGACCTTGAGATTATGCTAATCATTCCATACCTTTCCAAATCAATACATACAGAATTCAAAAAATCAGAATTGGCAAACCAATTCAGAATTAACATAAAAAAATTTTATGCCATGAAGTCCATAATTCTTTGTTTTTATCAATGACTTTTGCTATGATGATATCCAAAATTTTCTCCTTTAGTTGTGGAATGTGGACATTGATGTACGAATGTATCATAGATGCGGTATATTAAGATCTGCACCCATGCTTCCACTCTATGACCTCTATAGTCAATAATGGCCATAAAATTATTGTACAATCCAGTAACATCAGCTTCCTATTATGCCTTGGTGTCTTTTAGATCATTTTTTGCACTTGCATATGTTGTTTGCTCACTTCCAGCCAATTGAGACTAAGCAAGCACATCATTGGACAACGCCTCTTCGCCATTACTATTTTTTGCCTTCTGGATACATAATTCACCCAACTCAGAATACTAGATATACTTTGTGGCACATTCATGTTTGACTTCTCACACAAATTCTGTGGCATAGCAGTGTTCTCAATCTTAGAGTTCTCGGCCAATGCTTTCTCAATTTTCGAATCAACATCAAAACTAAATAACATGGATGCATAGTTGTGTTCGAAATGTTTGAATGTACAATGCGGCAATGTAATACATGGGTGTTTGGTGAGAATTAAAATTAGATTTTTAGTAGATTGTGATAGAAGTTTTTGAAATGTGTGGTTGAAAAGCTGTGAGATCCATGAAAGATGTGGTTTCTATTGATTGTTTGATTTTGACTTAAATTAAAATCTGATTTTAATTCGAAACAAACATGACCTAAATATAAATAGAAAAAAGAACACCTGGCTTCTCATTCTACACTATTCAATAACTACTCCCTTCATCTTCTTGTCACGCCTAATGCAATGTGGCATAAGGATGTAGAACCGCTTTTAGGTGTTACCATATTGTGGATGAAACTTGAAAAAACAATGATTATTGGAAAGGAAAGGTTTCGATTTTGTTGAATATGGTGATATTATACCTCTGATTAGGGTTTATATATTGGCCAAAAAACCATAATCACGTTTATATTGAATATCAAAACACTGATTCTAGAAAAATATTTTGATGGATTAATGTGTGTTGTGAATCTGTGAAATGATCAATTTGTGCTGATGATTTTGATTTCTTGAAAGGTTTTAGATTGAGAATAATGAGAATGTATTTGAATCGGCACAAATTAGAGGATTTTCATTGTAAAATTATAGTAAGAAGCGTGTTTGGTGGTTCAGCTCATAATTGATTATCTAGTATGCGATATTATTTTGGTAAGGGTCGTGTTGGGAGAAACGAATTCAGCAATGTTTTGATTTTCTAGTATGAGTGAGGTGATTTCCTCATTTTTTATTTCCTCATATTTTTTTATAGTAATTCTAGGATAAAATTAATTACAAAGTAATTCTTGAAGTTTTATGTAATACTAGGAGAGGTAATTTCCACAATGAATACTCTTGGCCCAAATCAAATACCCAACGCCTAATAGCCCAAATCAAACACCCAGCTGTCCACACAGGATTCCGCCTCCAACAAAGTCATCTCCCAAATTCCCGTATAGATTTTCTGTAGTCCACAGTAGAGCCGCCAAAAATCCTCACCGAACAGCAACGCAGGCAGCCAAAGAACTGATGCCGTCAAACAAATAGGCAAACAGATACCGCCAGCTCCAAGACCTGAACAAGGTTAGTCACCGGATCAAAATTTAATTCTCAATGACTTGAGTCTCGAGATACCAAAAGAATTGTATAACTTTCTTCGAGGCTCTAATACCATGTAAATAATGATTTAGGAATCATGGAGGACAATCAAGGAACAGTTGTAATGACAGATTATTGTGCTGATGAACTCCCTTTGGAATTGGGATTGGAGGAAGAAGAAGATAATGATAATGATGATGATGATGGTGAGAATAATGGTGCATCCGAAGATGAAGAGGAACAAGGGGACGGATTCAGATTCCAAGGAGAGATGAACCCTCTAGCATTCGTAGAAGAACACGACGCTGCTGGACTCCAGCCTTATGAGCGTTTTGAACAAATACAGTACCACTACGAGGCCTTGGCTGCTAAGAAGCGCAATAGTCCTGCCTCACCTCATCACTACTCCCGGTATTATTAATTTTATGATGATAACACTGGTATTCCTTATGTCTTCTTTACTTATTCCAATTGAATTCGATTAGCTTTATGTTCTGTGCTTTCTTGTGTTAATGTAATTCAAGCAGCTTCTCCATTTTCTTTGTTTTCTTACGTTTGACACCGAGTTTAATGGAGGGGAAGTGAATAGAACTAAAATTTTCAATCTTTATATATTTGTGATTTTTTTGATCCTTCCTTTTCATCTCAATTTCCCATCCTCTCCATTACCATCATAAAATATTCATATTTAGCTGTCTGTTTACAAAAAATATAACAAAACGCTAGCGAAAGATGTTCCCAGGCAATGGTTGGCAAGTAGTTATATATCTTTAGTCATTCCATGCTGCAGTTCTATCTATCTACATATTTCTTAAACCCCACAAGTGTTTTGGGGCTCTTGCATAAAAAAAAATGTTGATTCTTCTTGAATATCTAGGTACTCTATTATCTTTGTGGCTTTAATTTGTCTGTCAAGTTCTTCTAGTTTCTTCTCCTAATACAACCTATTTTTTCAATATTTTGGATGGGGAAAACAGTGAAACGCTGGCGAAGAGGTTAAGGCAGGAGGAGATTCATGGAGCAAGTTTTGAGGAAATAATGGAGGCCATGAATTATGGTATGAGGAGAAAGTCAAAGAAGGTATGTATTTCAAAATTTTATCTGCAGGTTTTTTTAAATTTGAATAGATACATCCAGTGTATACCTTCTTTGGAAACCTAAATTTATAGATTTGGGATTCCTCCTCACAGAAGACTTCCTGTGATGCTTGTAGTTTATCTGGTAATTAGTTTCTTGAGGAATTTTCAAGATAGTTCTCTTTTAGTAATGGCCAAATTGAAAGATGGCCATCTCTTAAAATTTTCCCTTAAAGCACGGGGAATCGAATTGTTGACACAAAATGCAACTAGTCTTTTATTCTATTCAACTTAGAAAATTTGGCCTTTTGCATTTAGGCCTTCGTTTGAAGTTATGTAGAGCTTTTCTCTTTGAGAACCATCCTTTTCCTTTTCGGCATTTTGCTTCCTTTGGTTTCTCCATTTGCTGATTCTTTTGATCTTAATTACACATTTTCTGGAGGAAGCCCAAAGAGTTCACTTTCATCATAATTGCCTATAAGGTCTTCTTATTTGTTGACTCTCATGTATCTTTTGACCGTTTTCTGGAAAACATATAGTTTACTGTCCGTAATATTTGAATTTCACGTATGCTTTTTTGTATCGTGTGCAGACCAAGAAAAAGGGAAGGAGGAAGGGATCAAAGAAAAAAGTTAACTCAGAATTAACTCGAAAACTTGGTGATGCCACTCTTCATTATGCACACGGCCGCTATGAGGAGGTATGCTACCATGGCCATCATATCTGGCTGTATATGAGCTATACCTTTGTTACCATCATTGCATCTTATATTTTTCGGTGTCACATTTTCATCTCCCCCTTTGCGAATTCTGGAAACAGTCAATTTGCACACTTTAAACGTAACATCTCTGCTTGTTAGTTTCTGTTGTTGTACTTCTTCAGAATTATTGTCTATTCTGACTCATGCTCATTTTTTATCGTCCTCGTCCCTGAATGTTTTATGTTTTGAGTTTGTAGGCTATCAGTGTTTTGAATGAAGTAATTCTTCTTGCCCCTAATTTATCTGATCCATACCATACACTTGGTCTTATTTATAATGAAATGGGTGATAAGAAGAGAGCCTTGAATTTCTATATGATTGCTGCACATCTGACCCCAAAGGATGCATCACTCTGGAAACTCCTTGTTACCTGGTCAATGTAAGATTTCCTCAGGCAGTTTACCTCTCTTCTTTTTGATATGCCGATTGGCTAAATTTCTATTCCTTTTTGATTATCCTTTTGTAAGAGAGTAACATCTGTCACATTCTTTACCTAACATTTTATTATTATTATTTTTTGTGTTTCAATGTTCTTGTTGGTTTCATTGGGCTCAGTTCAAACTTAATATAAAGTCTTATTTCATACTTGTAGGCCGGCCGGCTACATAATCTTCTTTTTTCTGCTTTGCTCTATGAAGTGCCATTTCATATATTATATGGGTGTTGGAGACAGCTTTAGGTTCATGTGTTGGGTTTATTGATAACATTCATATGTTAAAAATACAAGCCATGCAATGCCAAGTGTTAAGCTTGACAGGGGTAGTTGGACCTCAACTAATTATCAATGTAATGAAGGTCTTTTCCATAGTTAAATGTAAAGGTTTAAATCGTATTTAGTATCATGTGATTTAGGTTAATTAAGAAGGCTAACACTATATATATTTTTTCCATGTTGTATGTGTGTGTGCTAGTTTTATTTTCACCATAGAATGGGCCTTGTCCTATGATCTCTGGAGAAGGCTATTAAACCTAATGTGAAAAACGTAATGAGAACAAGGAACTCAGAATAGGTCTGACTAATGAAAGAAGAGCATGAAAAACCTGCAAGCTTCAATAGCTTTGAATACCTACACAGCCAACCCAATTGCTAGGAGAGTGGTGCAAAATTTGCTTCCACAACTTTCATGATAAGATGTTAGAGATAAGCTCCACCAGAAGGTGATAGGGCATTTACATTCATTTGGAGAACGTTTCCCAGCATTAAAGTGCATAGTTTCAATGCAACATTAAAGCCATGCTGGGTAAGGTGTTGGACAAGTCATTATCACTCTATCATCGTTTCTCCCCATGCTTATGCCAAATGTTACAACTAGTTTTCTTGTTTTTGGTCGTTCATCCCATTCTTATATTTTGGTCCCTCGTACTTGTAATTGCGCCTTATAAAACCTTATAAAATGAACCTTACATTGTAATAGGGTTATATGTTCCATAACTTCATTCACATTGACTAAATGGCGCTTCACAAATAGTACACCTCTGTAGCACAGGCACTTCAATTAGGGTAGCGTGTCCGACACGAATTGATACCGACACTTCTCGGACACTCTACCGTAATAATTTTTCTTTTTATATTA